CGCTCGCTGCTGCTCCCAGCGGCGGCGGCAAGCTCAGCTGGAAGCGTGTTCGCCGCTCGTCTTTTCTTTTCCTTGTTCGGGAAGCAGACTTTACCTTGAGCGGGAGTTTGCTGTAGACGATGCATGTTAGCAAAGAGCAAACAGTTGATTCATCCAAAACGTCTTGTCCCTTACCGAATCATATACCAGATTGGCTATTGATTTTTTGTCGTCCCAGCCGATAGCGGCGCTAGAAAAAAAAGAGCAATTAGCTAAAATGACGGCGGTCAACGAAACGACTCACCCATTTTCACTCATCTGGAATGCAGATGTCCTAGCCAGAAAAAATTAATATAACGAAGCACAAGGGCCGGCGTGTTTCCGGGCATCAAACGTTACTCACGACACGACAACACTACTGCAGGCTGAATCAGAAGACGGCTCTGACACAAAAAGACCCATGGTATTGTAGGTCAGTGATAGACGGGGCAGGTCAAGATCCCAATGATACAACGGTCCCAGGATGGAAAAATCAATGTCCAGCCCAAAAATAACGCTGGTAGAAACGCCGATCACACCACCGTCGCCAGTCGATCCATAGAGAATATTGTCGCTGCCCAGTTCAATCTTGTTCTTCTCTCTCTTGTCCCTATCCAAATTGGCCTCGGGGTCATCTTTGTCCAAGGGAAACTTTGCCAGAAACTTGCCATAGTCTGTTACAACGCGCACGCTCATACGCCCGTCAAATGGTGCTGGTCCAGCTTTGGTGCTTGAAGAATAGTCGGAGCCATTGATGGTAACAAGCTCGTAGTTGATCTGGTAGTATGGGTCAAAAGTCACCGAGCCTCGGATATGGCCGGCATTGATGGTGTGGCCCTTGAGGCTGACCTTGTTGGTATGCACCACCGCAGGATTGCCTTTTCCAGCTTTGCCGACATCAATGTTTCCAATGCCGGCAATACCAAAAGTGACGTCCTGGTTGCCGTGGACTTGGAGAAAGCCATGGGACTGTTTCGCCTCGAACTTATCGCCGGCCAGTTTTCCCTGGCAGATGTATTCATGTTAGACTCGGAGCGTCCTGTTTGCGGAACACGGCTCGGCAGCATGCGGATCACTCACAATGAGAGAGAAGCCGTAGTAGAAATTGGCGTCAACTTTACCTGCAACGTAGGCAGCGAATCCCTCATTATAGGTATCTCCGTCGATGGAACAGTCCCCAGCTGTCTGCCAAAAGATCGGAGCGGTAAGATCCTCCTTGACAGTTGCGAGTTCGTTTGGATCAAATGTGATGCTTTCATCGTCGTATAGCTTCTGCCAATCAATATTTGTGGGTGCGAAAAATCGTGTTTCTAAAGACTTGGGGTCAAGGTCACGCGCTTGGATACCAGGGGAATCGACGGCCGTGTTCCAATAGCTGCCAAGGTTGGAATAGTCCATGCGGATGCTGGTATTGTTGGAGTCTCGACGCGCAAGTTTGAAATTGAAATCGTACTTGAAGTCAAAGACCTGCGACGTGCGATTCCTGTGCGCAAACTCTTCGGGAACGGACTGGTCTGGAAATGGCATGTTAGCACAATGGGTAGGTACGTTGCTTTTTTGGTGAACGAGTTGCTGACTTGCCTCGCGAAGCGGTGAGTGAAATTGCTCGAGCAAATTGATTCGGTGCACACTGTTGGCCATGTCAGTGATTCGCGCGACGCCACATAATCTCTGATGCCGCTCATAGCACTGCTCTATATTTACTTACGCTATCGGGCATCTCAACAATTGTTCCTTCCACACCCTTTTCTTCGACAGCAAAGCAACCCTCCAGGTCATTGGCAAAGCACACAACACGGGCGACCTGAGTCTCATCCGTGGGCCGCGATGTCGTGTTCTGGGGGCAGTCAATAAATTCAAACGGTTCCGGCTGTCCCGATCGCTGCTTCAAATTGCTGACGACGTGCGAGTCTCCCGCAATAAGAAGGAAACCAAACGCAGAGGAGCCCGGATCCATGCTTCCCGAGCCACCAAATGTTACGAGGCCGTACTTTGGTTTTGCGCCCACGGGAGGCAAGTCCTCGTTGGGTAAGAGGTATTTGAGGTCCAATAGTTCGAAGTCGCCGTCTATCACATTGTCGATACTGTTTGGATCGGAGAGGGCTTTGAGCGATTCCAATCCGCCGTCGTCGAGATCCAGTGCCCATGTCATGACGCCAGACAGGCCCAACTTGTTGGCGAAGTCAATCTTGGCCTTGATAGTGTGAGCATCATCGTATCTGTAGAGCGTTAGTCATCGATCAGTTGTTTTTCCGGAGATGCATATGTTCTGTATACTTACGAGATCCAGTTGTTATTATCGTAGACCATGTACCGGGCGGCAGCCTCCTTATCTAGATATGAAGTTGCTCCGGTGCTTCGCAGGATTTGCTTGATCTCTGTTTCACAGTTTAGCCACTTTATAGATGCGGCGAATGCAATGCTAAACGTACCCCTGTAGGACAAAATACCCGGTGTATTGGTACACTTCCCTGCTGCTCCAGGTCCACTGAAGCGACAACCAGGCTTCCAGCATGATGGGTCAGAAAGCTGAAAGGAGCGTCCATAGAATCCAAAGCCCAAGACAATGGCTGCTGGGTCAACCTTGACACGCCAGAACTGTGTTTTTTTCAGTTGTCAGTCGTCACACTTTGGATGTTAAACGGAGAATTTCTCACCAGGTCAAGTGCAAGGTCAATCTCCGTCAAGTTGGTGTGAGATAAGACGTGGTTGCCAATTGGGTTTCTGCTGTCCCAGACTCCGTGCAGATCGTAGGACATGAGGTTGATCCAGTCAACCTGCTCAGACATGTTTTTGATATCAAAGTTTCGAAGATACCAATAAGACGTGGGAGCAGTAAATGTGACGAGGTAGTCCCGTCCAGATACCTTGATGGCTTCACGCAGTTCTTTGAGCAGAGCCGTGTAATTTACGCCGTCCTCTTTGGAGCCACCACGGTCATCAGCGCCGGGATATTCCCAGTCTTTGGTCAGCCAGTTAGTATCTTGCATGTAATCTGAAATGGTCTTGGTGTCTTAAGAAAATGGCGAATCATACCGAAGTCTATCCACATCAAGTTTGTATTAGCCTAGCACACTCTAGTTATGACAGGTTCAATCACTTACCAACACCGTCATAGCCGTATTCAGACAAGAATCCCAGCAAGTTATTAATGAACGCGGCACGGTTCGCTTGGCTGGACACCATTGTGGGAAAGACACTCTGCCACGGACCAGGGTCGCTGAAAGTCCACCCGCCAAGAGCAATCATGATCTTTAGGCCAGGATTTCGGATCTTGACTTGGCCAATGTCTTTGTAAATGTCCGAGGATAGGCCATCCATGTTTGTAATCCGGAAATTTGAGTCAATGTAACCAAAGGCAACATTCAAGTGCGTGAGATAGTTGACAGGAATTTCGCCAATCGACATGGTACCGCAGGCGTGCTGATAGTTCCAAGCCTCCCAGTAGCCAATGACTCGCTTCTGAACATTAGAAGGCGACGAGGCGGGCTTTGGTTGATGACAGTTTGACTGGCAGCCAGTGCCGCAAAACTCAGAGGTGGTACCGCAAAATCCGTACTGGGAACAGCACACGTTGAGAGGGCAGCCCAATGTAGGTTCCGCGGCATACTCTCCACACTCCGCGTGAGCGTCACAGTGAGACTGGCAGCCATCACCGCAGTATTTAGGTCCGTAGCCGCACCAGCCGCTCGAACCGCAGCAAGCACCGTTGGAGCATGGCAGGTCGGGACTGCATGAGAAGTCGCCACCGATGGCTTCAGCTGCCTTGACGGCGAAAAGCATGCTACCCGCTGCGGTGGAGGGCTTGTTTAGTGCAAGGCTGCTGTTGTTGAGCCCGGTGTCCGCAACCGCGGGAGAGGTCGACAGGAGGGCGAAGAACAATGCTGGAATAAAAGAGAATGAAGGAGTGAAGGAGAATTGCCCTTGTGGCGATTCCTGTAAGCTCACCATCTTGTGGTGACCAAGCCGAGCGAAGCGGCAGCAATGATTCAAATGAGTTAACTGAAGGACACAGCCTGCACAGGGAGGGGTTGGGACAAACAAAAGAATGTAGGATGGGGGCTGGGTATGTTACGAGCAAGGAACGGAAGATCGAGCGTGCGGGTAATTGGAGAATTGAAACTTAAGAGACAGTCGTTGTCGGTCTTATATACGAAATTAGAAAGTGACAGACCTTTGGGGGCGCTCGCCTTCCAGTCCGACTGCCAGGGCTCCAATCGACACGGGGACTTCCGTTCACCAGCGAGCGGGTAGTCCGCAATGTTGGCATTCCAATTTGAGTCGGAATCGCTGTTCTGGACTCAGCGGCGACTATCACCAAAAGCGTCACCATGCAGGGGTCCTTGCAAAGCAGAACCCGATGTGCATCGGGGCATCCGGGCTTGTCCCTGTGCGATCCGATGCGTCAGGGGACCTTAGGGGAACCACTTAGGAAGGCATTTTTATTGCAGAGGTGGAGTCCTTTATCCGGTGTCGAGCATTTCTACTGTGCTACAGAGAAACAGTTGACAACGAGACTGCCGCTCGTTGCTCCTGTGGCAAGAAACGCGGCGCTGGTTTCCATCAGCTGCCCCTGTCAAGGCTGCAGCTGTCTGACTCGTATCGGATTTGCGGAGCGAGGCGACCCCCGTCGATTCTCTGGAAACCCTTTCGGCGCTGCCGTTGGCGTCAATCAAGGCAGCATTCGATATCCCGGTCAAAGGTGGCCAAATGACCCCAAGTTAGCCACTTGCAGAAATGGGTGCTTTGTGGGAAACTGCATGCGGGATAAAATGTCAAAGTGTGTGTCATGAAAAAATGATCGTTGTAAAGAATAAGCCCAGGGTTTAGCCCCTGAGATTTGACCAAGAAAAGTATGTCTCTCCTCTGCTCTGGCTGGAGCATTTGACCCTTGGCCAAAGAGCACCGTTTTCCTTTCCCCTCAGTCCTTCAAATTGTCCATCCCTTTCTTTCCTACCACTGAACCCTAAGAGTCCAACATCATGAAGCTCTTCTTGAAGCCTTTGGCCTGGCTGGCGGCCACGGCACACGCAACCTTTGATACCAACCACCTGGCCGTCACAAACAACACGGTGTCTTACAACGGGACTGCGTCTGTGGCCTTTGACAGTTCATCAAATTGCAAGCAGTATACTATCAAAGCAGAAGATACTTGCTTGAGTGTCGGACGTGCTACGAATACTACATACGCACAGTTACTATCCTGGAACCCAAAGCTAGATACCGCTTGCTCGTAAGGTTTCACCAACGTTGATGAAACCAAGTTTCTAACCCTTATATCATTTTGAAAGGAACCTCAAGACCCTTGCAGACGCCCAGCTTTGCATTAGCAACCCCTTGGGCGATTACGGCATCTCTAGCAATACTCATGGGCTGACAACCGTCGCCACTACCGCTGCGTATGTACCTTCCCCAAAGCACGACGAAATGAGTGCAAGTTTTGAAACTTCTTGTAGCTTCCATCACACTGTGGCTCACAGAAATACAAATATAGTCCAATTCCATGCCCTATCGCACGCCAGTCAACCAAAAACTGCGGGGAGTGGCACAAGGTCGAGTCTGGAGAAGACTGTTTAACCATGACTGCCATATACGGTATTGCACTCAAGGATTTGTAAGTTGTCAAGATGATACTACTTTAGTTTCTCGTCAGTGTGTTTTCTAGCTAAGCCTCGTTTCTAACAGCCTCTTCCTTAACCCCATGGTGTATGACAACTGCACCAACCTTTTGGCAGAGGTTTACTACTGTGCTAAGCCCGTTGGTTATGTCTCGGACTACCTCGGCTATGGTGGCTCAACCACGCGCGCTCCTATAAAGCCTGTTGGCGCCACGACTCTGTCTCAGAGCGGTCCGCTCCTCGGAAACCTGGCCAGTGATGGGCCTGTGATTCCGCTCGCAAATGGCACTCGAAAAGACTGCTACGGGTATGTCACATCATTCTTCGCATCAGTAGATTTTTTTAACCGACACCATTCTACAGTTATATAGACTTCCCCAATGTTACCGACAACTACGCGGCCGATTGCTGGAGCCTAGCAATGCTCGTTGGAACAACATCCGAGGTAGGCCGTCGTCGCAGAACCAAACCCAGGGAAGCTATTAACGGTCTTAGGAACTGATCCTTTGGAACCCTTCTCTAGCGCAAAGTGCGCAGCAAGGCAAGACGGATGACCCTGCGACGTCACTAACAATCGACGAACACGACTACACCTACCCGTGCACCCTGGCAGCGAATACGTCGTACTGCCTCGTCCTCTCCTCTCCTATACCTTGTACGTGCTTCTTTGTCTAGGCTTCTCTCTGCCGTGCCTGTCTTCTCGGTTTACAATTCTAACCTACCCTGTTGAAAATAGCCACGGAACCCCCCCAACCCGAGAAGCCAGCACCACGAGCCGCTGGCGAGATTGCGAATTGCACTTCCTGGGCCCTAGTGCATGACTACACTACCTGTGCAAGCATAATGGATCTCTATTACCTTGACATCGACACTTTCTATAAGATGAACCCAACTATTAAATCTGATTGCACTGGACTCGCCGCTGGAACGTTCTACTGCGTCTCAATGTGGCCTGGTGGCGGTCTAGATCCCGCGGTACTTGACGATGACGACGACGACTCTTACTTGACAACGACCCCCGGGTCTTCCACACCGTCGCGTCCTAGCACGCCATCCCCCGTTCAGACGGGCATGGTGAGCGGCTGCAATAAGTTCTACAAGGTGGTCTTAGGCGACGGCTGCTACAATATTGCCCACGCTGAGGGTTTTGACCTGGATGACTTTTACTTGTGGAATCCCGCCGTCAAGAACGACTGCACCGGCCTCCAGGTCAACGTCTACGTGTGCGTCGGCATCGATACCGCCACAACGATGATTGCTACCACCATGTCGTCAGGCTCGAGCCAGGCCACGCTGTCACACACCTAGGACGGCATGGTCGACGACTGCGCCAAGTTCTACCAGGTCAAGTCCGGGGACGGCTGCTGGGCCATTGTCCACGATGCAAACATTGATCTTGGCGACTTTCTCAAGTGGAATCCCGCCGTCCATAATGACTGCACAGGCCTGCAGGAGAACGTGCATGTCTGCGTTGGGGTATAAGATTTCTAGTAGCTGGATTTTTGTTTTCTACTCTATAAAATGAGTGTTTAAATAAATATAACTTGTATAAAGCTGAAGCTGCTTAAGCATAAGATTGGTAGTGTGTCAGCCCGCGTGAGCGCCCACCCAAAGTGAAGGGAATCTCAAAGCTTGGAGCAAGATGGCTACGGTCTACCGCGCCAAGACCCTCGACTGGGTTGTTGGAATACACGTCTTTTCCAAACGGGTTCGGCACATTTCTCGAAGCGTCACTGTAAATGAACCTGCTAGCGGCTTTGTCCACACTAACGTACCGTCCCTCTCTTACGGGACATGTTCTGGATAGCTTGATCTGTATTTGCGGCCTCTGTCCTGGCGCGCGGTCTTTCCAGGACGACTTCTCTCGTAGATTTTCAAGTAGCGTCATGTAGCTAGTGTTCTCGTCCATAAACGCCATATAACTTACCTCCACGGACCGAAGGGAGAGGGGTAGCACCTCGAACAGTGTCATCAGCTCAGACTGGCATACGAGGACTCGGGTGATGCCAAAATGCTTCAGGCGCGGCCAGTCCTTCACAGGGAATACGGCTAGCAGAGGCAGAAACGTCTCTGTTTCGTCATCCTCCGCTAGTTCGGCTGTTGAAGGAAATCCATGTTCGTCAATGTCCATGTTACTCGATATGCTGAAGTGCTCCAGATCCGTCGCAGCGGCCAACGCGTCTCTGAACAACCCGCTACGAAGTGAATTCCACCCGTCCAACTCTTGAGCCCCGGTGCACAAGGCAAGATCGAGACGTCGAAACCCCGGTTTCGATACGAGCGCCGCGAAGTCATCGTACTCTTGGCATGGCCGATCAAATATGTGACAATTCATACCGGTGATGCGGTGGTGAATAGCCATAACAAACTCGGAAATACTGTGCTCGGTCTCGGCCAGCGTCCTGAGTATAACGCGAAACCCACGCCAGAGGTCCCTGTACTGCTCGAGAGTACAATCAGGGTCACGCCATGGCCTTCCATCAGGGCCATACAGTAGCTGATTAAAATCATCATCGCCCTTCCATCTATAAAGCTTTGGGGGAGCGCCGACTCCTGACTCGTCACCAGGCCAGCCACGGGGAATAGGGTACGCAAACGTCTCCGGAAACGCTCGAAGCATGGGCGTTTGATACAACGGGTTCCCTATGGAGACGCCGTGCGCAGCTGGCGTGAGCGTGATGCGTCTCAGGGATGGAAAGCGCTGCAGTCCGTATCTTAGTGCCTCAATGTCGGAAGCAGTCTCCAGCACCGTCTTCTGCTCCATTAAAAGCCTCTTGTAGTATTGCCAACAGTCTTCGAGGCTCATCGCATCATCTGGTATCGTGTTTCCGTTCCAGCCACCCTCGACAATGTCGAACCGCTCCTCCAGTGCATCGACGCGGGCTCTTTCGAACCATGCCGGGCAATCCTCGGGTATGTGTTTGGCGCGAAGAAGGCCCTGGCCAACGCTGTAATTACTCTGGCCAAAGCTGTAATTAGTCTCGATGAGCCGCGCATCATCCCAGACAATTTCCGTGACACGGTGCCGAAAATGTTCATGGTCAGCGATGGCGCGAAAGACTCGAATGTTCAACGGGTTTGCTGAAAGAAAAACTCGATCAAGCCTAAGAAGCACTGTCTTCTGAGTAGCTTTGCTGGCGGCTCGGAAACGCTTGATGTCGCTGTTTGTTAGATGCGAAGTGATTGCATCTAGCAACTCCCTTGGAAGCTGAAATAATAAACATGCCGTACTTTCGCTGAGGTTGGATGGCATTTTTTAGGTGGTCAATGTTGTATTTATAGCAGAGTTATGTATGGGTTTAGGCCGTGATTCGTAATCTGGTACTGTTATTAGTCTTCGATTATTAAGAGAAGGCGCAGACCCACTTCACACAGTTAGCATCTAACCCTGTACACCAACAGAACCATGCCTGCCACCGTGCAAACCCTCCCGATCGTCCGTATACGAGAGCCTGCAACAGTCAACTTAAGCCCCGTACCTGAGTGTTACGAGTTCCTTAAAGCTCCAGAGCCACCGCAAAAATATCGAATCAACTTCCACCATCCTGCCTATGGGCCTAATGATAACCCACTCTTTACCTTGTATGCTTGGGATCATGCTGATGGTGGGATCCATCATGGCTTTGCACACAGCGCTTGTTCAATATTCGCCGACAACCGCACCGATGGTTATTTGAGCACAACGTGCGATGGCGAGCATGGCGAGCGAGTTCAGGCTGGCTGGGATGAAGTCCTGCCTGCTGCTGTCGTGGACTACTACTTCTATGTCCCTTATCCTCCTGGTAGGTTCCATACATTCCCACAAGAGTATTATTGAGGAGAGCTAATTTTGGCGTGTACTACTAGACTCCCCGCCGCTTACTGGGCAATCTCGATCGCCATATCGATATCCTATTGTTACGAACTTCCAGGACTGGAGATTTGAGCGGCTGCCTGAGATCTGGACACGTTGCAGGAGTATACAACATGCTATGTCGAGTATTACACCTCAGTCTAATTTTACAGGGGGTGTTACATGCCGTGTCACCGCATTTGAGAGCGGCACAGAAGTTGCGCACTTGATTCCCGAACACGAGAGCATATGGTTTACCTCAAACCGTATGTCTATATGGAATACCGACCTCTCGCTAGATCCGAACAATCTATTACAGGATCTTAGCAATACAGTGCTACTGCGGTCGGATATACATACAGCGTTCGATCAGCGTAAATTCGTCTTCTTCCCGAAGAGCTCTAAAGCACTTGTCTTGCATATGCTGCCACCAACGCCGGACATCGGACAGCTATACCACAATACCCTTATTGAGATCCGTGAATGTAGTTTAGAGTTCCTGTTTGCGAGATTTGCGTGGTCTATATTTCCTTCCCTAGCAGGGTTTCTAAGTCGACCGTCGACTAGTCGCTTAGTCATTCGATTGAATGCAGAGGGCAAGCGAGTTGCAGAGGAGGTAACGATATTGCTTGCACGGAAGGTTACAGCTTCCCGCAGCAACAGCCCAACAAAGCGATCTCGGGCAGCTGCGAATTCGAATGACGATGCCGAATGTGAGCAACTGTCATTCGGCTCCACCCTACCAGCTTTGGGTGCTGACAGTGGTGACTCAGAAAAGCGACCTGAAAATCGACGCTGCAAAGCATTAAACAGTAGTTCATTGTCTGTGGAGGATCCAGAATTTAGCGGCGCAGAGCATTGCCGTACTCTTCATCAAGAAGTCTATATCAACGAGTTGCGGCAAGCTGCACTCGCAAGGCAGAGACCGTCAGGGTATGATCCGCAACCACCACCCTATGACAGGCATAGACCAGCGAAAGAAGAGCTTGAATTAATGGGCGTGGAAATTATGTCAGATCTTGAAGACTTATAGTAGTAATATAGTTATACTTTTCTCTACTTTCTTTTAATATTCTTAATATTCTTAATATTCTTAATATTCTTAATATTCTTAATATTCTTAATATTCTTAATATTCTTAATATTCTTAATATTCTTAATATTCTTAATATTCTTAATATTCTTAATATTCTGGTAACTAGTGTTGAGGGTAATGCCACCCTGGTCTAGCGATATCCTGCCGAATCTTGTACACGTCCTCGGCCACTTGCAGCACATCCATGTCCAATTCCACGACGCGCACCTCCTCGGCCGGACCAAGCATACACCGAGTCCCCTGCAGCGGCATGGCGACCTGGCTCTGCCCGATAAACTCCATGCCCCGCGCATCTTTCCCATGCGCACCACCAGGCGGCGGCGGCGGCGCGGCGGCGTTGACAAAGACGACGGCGCAGGTGCTCTCAAAGGCGCGCGACACAATGGCGTTGCGCAGAAAGAGCGCCTCGCATTCGGGATTGACGCGACGGCCGGCGCCGCCGTCGTCTGCGAGCCAAAAGGCCGAGCAGACGACGATGCGGGCGCCGTCTGCGATGAGGGCGCGCGTCGCCTCGGGAAAGGCCATGTCCCAGCAGACGAGCAGGCCGACGCGGCCCCACGGCGTGTCAAAGGCGCGGTGCGGCGTCTCGCGGTCGGCGACGACGTGCGGCCGCTCCGGGTGCCACAGGTTCTTCTTCTGGTACCGGCCGAGCACGGCGCCGTCTGGCCCGATGAAGCAGGCCGCGTTGGCGAGATGCCCGGTGAATGCAGCGGCGGCGGTGTCGCCGCCCACCGCCGTCTTCGTCTCCAGCATGGTGCCCGGCACGATGCCAATCTGGAGCTCTCGCGCCAGAGACTGGTACCGCTGCAGGTAGGCGGCCGAGGTCGCCACGGCCGCGGCCGGGTCCTTGAGCTGCTCGAAAAAGTCGCCCAGGTAGTATTCGGGAAGCACGGCAATGTGAGCGCCGTCTGCGGCGGCTGCGCGAATGTGGTTTGCCGCGCGAGTAAAGTTGCCTTCAATGTCCGTTGGCTAGTGGCACACGTTGGTCGGGTTTGGTTCGTCGGATTTTCGTTGGATAGTATTTTTTTTCTTCTTCTCACTTACGTGCGAGTAAAGTTGGACGAGCGCGATGCGCACCTTGCTTGGCATTGTGTCTGTCATAGTGGTGCGCCCGTCTAGTTTGTGACTTTGACTTGGCTGATAAAGAGCAGGAGAGGAGAAAAGGTTCACTGGCGGTATCGGAAACTGGCTACACTACAGTTTTCAAAACAGAGAGAAATATCGGCTTATATACTCTTGGCCCTCATCATTCGCCGGTTTGCCCCTGCAGTGTACAACATTGCGAGGTAGCATTCCCGAATGCAGGAATTGTTTACCCCGCGGAGTCAGTCCGTGCTGGTCTAGCGATAACTGCATACTAGGACGTACTGGAGATAGCAGATATCCAAACTCGGATTGCCGCCACACTAACTTTACCTAGTTAGTGATGAACGTGCGCCCCCCCCTCCCTTCTCTCCCATCTTCAGCAGGTTCGCGCTCTCTCACTCGCATTTGCCTCGACAACCTACCAACCATCCAGAACGTGCTCCAAAATTGGCACAATCGCGCCATGTTTGCGAATTTCGAGCTGTGGTCTGGCGGCCTAGTCGATTATGCGGCCAAAAAGAGACAGCCGCGATCCAAGACTGGATGCATCTCCTGTACGTCCCCCCCGGGACCGGAGTCCCCCGCCTCCCCCCCAATAGTGCTAGTTTAACCCCCCCCATTTTATTCGCAGGCCGTCGCATCAAGAAGAAATGCGATGAGGCGAGACCAGTCTGCGGGAGATGCCTCCAGCGCGGGCACACGCGCTGCACCTGGACATGTGAGCCTCTGCGGGCCGTCGTCGTCGCGTCGTCGTCTCCAGAAAGCTGCATGCGGGAGCGACAACGGCCGCCCCGGAGCCGGGCGGACGAGTACGATGACTCCTCTTTCCCCTCGATCCGCCCCAGCTCCAGCTTCCTCGTGCATTTCCGCGAGGCGGGGCTCGCCGGGGTGGTTCCGGCAGCGCACGCGTGGGAGGTCGTGTGCCACGCGAACCGCGCCGTGCACGGCGCGTACTTTGACGACCACTACACGATTCTCGTGCCTCTGCTCCCGCTGCTTGCCGAGTTTCCCTCGTACGCGTACACGTGGCTCGCTCTCGGGGCGGCGCAGCTCGCGCAGCAGCAGCAGCCGTCGTCGTCGTCATCTTCCCCGGACAGCAGCCCCTGGCGCCTCACGGCGCTCAAGTGCCACTCCAAGGCCGTGTCCGGGTTGCGGCGGCACCTGGCGTCCTCGCCGGTGCCGCAGGAATGGGCGCTGTGCTGCGTGCTGCTGCTGCACATTTTTGAAAAATTCGGCGACGGCCAGCAGCAGCGCTGGCCGTCCGACGCGCACGTCAAGTCGGCGCGCGGCTATTTCCTGCACCGCTTCGTCGAGTGCCCGCCGACGAGCATGCGCCACATGCTCCAGCTGGAGAGTATCATCTACCGCATCGCCGTCACGAGCCTGTTCCGGCCGCGCGAGGACTGCTGCTGCACCTTTCTCGACCGCTTTGTCGACATCTGGGCCGCCGCGTCGTCGAGCATCCGGTGCGGCGGCCTGTGGCGGCACAGTCTGTGGATCGGGCTGCCGCCGTCCACCTTCAACGCCGTCTTCAAGCTCTCGGTGCTCCTCCGCCAGGTGCCGCTCAACGCGCCGCAGCGCGCCGAGCTGCAGCGCGTGGAAGAGCATCTACCCGCCGCGCATCTGCCGCCGCGCAGAGCGTTGCTGCCGGCGCCCGGTGCGCACCGTGAAGAACGCGGCGGGCGCCCGGCGCTGACGCTGGACGAGCAGTCGCACGCTGCGCATTGCCTCTTCACCAGCGCGTGCTGGATTGTCCTGGCCAAGACGCGGCCTGCGGCGCCGACGCAGGACCAGGAGCGCATACGCGAGCTGGCCCTCTCCGGCTGCAGCTGGCTCGACTGTCTGATCCAGGCCGAGTTCTTCTCCCCGGTCCTGCTCTGGCCCGTCATCATCATTGGCCTGGCTGCCGCGACCGTCCAGGAGCAGAACACGGCGACGGCCTACGTCAATGCGCTGGCGCACACGTCAGGGCCCCAGGCCTCGACTTCGGTCACCCGGCTGTTCAAGACGGCGTGGGAAGGCGTAAATGGGGCCGAACCGGCGGGCCTCGACATGTTGTTTGATTCCGAAGCGCTTGCCACTGTTTTCATTTGACGGCGTTGTCGCATTAGCTGGTAGTCGCCGCCACAACGCCTCAAAATAGTGTTGCGCTAGATCCAGATAGGACTGCCGACGCGCTAGCCTAATCATGTACAAGTCGATGTTGATAAGTGACGCCTATATCCGTGCAAGCGACACTATGTATAATTGATAATGCGGCCTCCGGGGCAGCTACGTACCATGCACAACTGATAATGAGTTTCCTGCGAGCTGCTTCTCGATACGTTCGTTATAAAAGCCACCTCCGCACCAAGGCGCCAGCCACTTTCCCAGATATCGGAAAACAGCCCTTATCTTCCGATGTTCCGTATTGTCCGGCATGCATAGATGAGCGACTGAGGGGGCTGATAGAGGCGACGCATAGTTGTAGTTATATAACATGCAAGAGTGCCCAATGATTCCCACGAGAAACGGAAAAGCATATCCCCAAATCTTTGCTTCTCTTTCTTCTCATTACCTCCCTCCATATCGAGAGCCCTGCCAGTAATTGACGCGGCCAAGATGCAAGACAGCAGCGGAACCACCTGGCCGTCGGCATCCGGCCAACACCCGCCCGGCACCGTCCTCCTAGACGATGGTTTGTCGCCTGCGCACCCATCACTCCCCGCATCCCTCTCCCCTCTTGCTAACGCTCCTCCTAGTGACGGCCGCGCACAGCCGGACGATCCTGCAGCCGGTGCCGAGCAGCGATCCCAACGACCCGCTCAACTGGACGCGCATGCGCAAGAACGTCAACTTTGGGCTGGCGTGCGCGTACACGTTTGTCGTGTACGTCGTCATCGACATTGCCACGGTCGTGTACGGGCAGGTCAAGGACGAGCTCGGCTTCTCGTTCCAGGAGCTGAACCAGTCGTTTGCCGTGTCCAACGCGGGGCTCGGCCTCGGCGGCGTCCTCTTCATCCCCTTTGCGCTCTGCTTCGGCCGCCGGCCCGTCTACCTCGCCAGCATCGCCGTCATGGTCGGCACCACCGTCTGGCAGGCCCGCATGCAGACCCTCGCCGACCTCTACGGCTTCAACTTTGTCTGCGGCCTCGCCGGCTCCGTCGGTGAGATCATCTGCGCCATGACCATTGCCGACCTCTTCTTCGTCTCCCAGCGCGGCGCCAAGACGTACATCCTGACCATTGCCCTCAACACGGGTACGTTCCTCGCCCCAGTCGCCGCCGGCTATATTGCCACGGCGCTGGGCTGGCGCTGGTAAGTAATCGACCATGTGCTCACGCTACCGAGGGACCATGTTTGTTATACTGACTTTTTTTTTCGTCCCCCAATCGCAGGATATGGTGGTGGAGCGTGATCTTGTCCGGTGTCCTCCTCGTGATATTCATCTTCTTCTACGAAGAAACCATCTTCAACCCGTCCCCGTATCCCACCGCCGGCACCGACGAGCCGGGCACGCACGACGCGGAAAAGGCCATGCTTGCAGAGGTCGACTCGCGCTCGCCCTTCCGCCCTCCTATCCGGCTCGACATCCCGCTCCGGCCGTACCGGGCGCGCCTCGCGCTCTTCACGCGCACCGACAGCTCGCCGCGGAGCCTGTTCCGGCACGTGTACCAGCCGTTCATCATCCTGGCCACGTTTCCCGGCGTCGCGTTTGTCGCCCTCGTCTTCGGCTCGCTGCTCGCCTGGCTCGCCATCGCGCTCAACGTGCAGGCCACCTACTTCACGATGCCGCCGTACAACTTCTCCTCGTCCGGCGTCGGGCTGCTCAACATCCCCACGCTGATCGGCTGCCTGCTGGGCGGCCTTTTCGGAGGCCACCTGTCCGACTACAGCATCAAGTGGCTGGCGCGCCGCAACGGCGGCCTGTACGAGCCCGAGATGCGTCTCTGGCTCGCGTTTCCCGCCATATTGATAGCGCCTGCTGGGTATTTCATGTTTGGCTTTTCGATTGCCAAGGTAGGTAGTGAATGCACGAGTGGCGGCGCGTGTAGCATGCTAATGAAGACAGGGCATGCCGTGGCCAGTTCCGGCGGTCGGGCTGGGAGTGTACGGCTTTGGAAGCGCGGCTCTCGGTAACATTACGCTCGTTTATCTTGTGGACTCTTACAGAGATGTAAGTCACTCTATGCAGATACAGACTTGGTCTTGGTGTCAATGCATGATGCTAACTTTACGCCAGGTTATCGGAGAAGCGTACATTGGCGTCATCTTTGTGCGCAATGCTTTTGGCGTTGTGGGCGCCATGTGCTTGACCCCATGGGTTGAGAGAATGGGACTATATAATATGTTTGTCTGCTCGGGCTGCTTGTCCATCGCAGTCTCACTGCTTACGGTGCCGATGATGATTTGGGGTCGCCAATGCAGGCAATGGACGGCGGTTCGGTATACCAGGATGGCTGGCAAACAGGCTGAGGTGCGATGAGAATGGTTGTCATCTTTCTGAAAGCACTTTGCTTGACATTCCACTGAACTGGGGATATAAATGTTTCACTATACTGATTTTAGCCATGTCAACTGGACTCTTTGTTTTAAGTCTGCCAGCGGCGTCTCGACTGCGTGCGAACGCTACTGAGACCAACGTGAGAACTAGTTGTCTGACAATTCGCAACTCGTAAAGTGATGGCAGCTTGAAAACAACACCCTTAAGTAAAGCAGGCAATACATCATACACTCACAAGCTAGCCGAATAGCCACCTTCGCCCACCATCTCCTCCTCCGGCGCATCATCGCGCACGCACTCAATGATGGAATCCGCCAAATACTCCGTATACCGATAGACCTTGCGCAATCTCAATCCAGCCCGTCGGACGAGCTGCTGCCACTGCGCCATGGTCCTCTCCCGCGCCGCCAGCACCGCCATCATCAGCATGTCCAGCTGGGCGGCATGCCAGTGGACGCCCGCCTCGGGCATGACCATTTCGTCGAGCAGCAGCCTCGAGCGCGGGCCCATGGCCAGCCTGGTGCAGCGCAAGATGCGCAGCGCGTCGGCGTCGTTCCAGTCGTGCAGGATGTTGCGCATGTAGTACATGCGCGCGGCGCGCACCGGCTGCGGCGCGAAGAAGTCGTGCGCCGTGTGCTCGACGCCCTCGCACCGCAGCGCCTGGCCCAGCAGCGCCGGCTGGTCCTGCACGATGATCCGGCCGCGCACCGACGCCGGCAGCGCCCGCCGCAGAGCCGCGCTTTGGTGCCCCGACGCCCCCGCCGACGTCGACAAACAGCGGCACCGCTGGTCCGCCCCCGCCGCCCCGGGCCGCCGCCGTCGTCAGGTACGGGTACACGTCGAGCCACGTCGGCATGCCCGCGCGCTGCACGCTCATGAACCGGTTGAAATCCGCAAACAGCGAGGGACGCGTCGGAAGCCAGGTAAAGATTCGCTCCGACGTCCCGTGCGCCCGGTTAAAGGCGCAGTCGGCTGGGTCGTCGACGTCTTGGTAGCCCTGCTCTTTGAGCAACGCGGGCAGGGCGGCAAAGGACGGTATGAAGACGTCGCAGCTGGCAAATTAATTTTAATCATGGCATCACTAACTTCGCTCGAAGTAGGGGGGAGGCGTACTAGTACAACACGGCGCTCTGCCACTCTCGCGTCGCCAGCGTCCGCGTCGTATTCGTCGAGCCGTAGCGGTCCGGCGCCGTCTCGCGGACCACGTCGATGGACGCCAAGTACCGCAGCAGCCGACTGAGCAGCACCGGGGACGGTTTGCTGCCGTCGCCGCCGTCGCCGCCGTCGCTGCCGCATTCGTCTGCGAGCTGTGCGCTGGACAACGGCGCAGGGCTGTCGACAATGCGGCGAAAGAGGCCGAGGTCGCAGCCGGCGCGGATGATGGGCAGCGTCATGGGCTTTTTGCGTATTCTGTGAGGACTTTTACTTTCTTCTCAGTCCGTATGGAAAGGGTATTACCTGGTAGAGGAGCCGCTGCATACAGTCTTGCGGCGTCTCGAGCTCCCGCGCCAGGCTGTTCAGCTGGTCGAGGATGGCCTTGCGGGCGGTCGGGTCGGCGGCGATGGCGCGCTCGCGCACCGCGTTGAGAAGATCCATGGGCAAGCTCGCAAAAGGGGAATTAGGAACAGTCTTCAATTCTTTGTAGAGAAGGTCCCTTGTCCCGTCCAATGTCACAAGGCGGGTTACTTGGGTAATTCCTCTTCTCCCTTGCCCTCCGGAAGCCAGAATATATACACGAAGATATATGTTGTGCAACACACTCACTGCAAGCGCCACCTCCCATTCTCCTCACATCATACATCACCCCTTGCCCGAAAAAAAGGAAATACTTGCAGTGGAATATAGACACCTGAGCTTTATCCGGCCGTCTCCGCCACTATCATCGACTGCTGCAGGAGAGCTGAATCGGATCTGCCCGCCCGCTGCTTTGTTCCCGTCTCTGTGCATCTCCCGCTCTAGTGATGGGACAATTAAGTCGTCGAGAAGCAGCACGTCATGCCGCAAACGCCGTGACAAGAATGAGGGGGTGGTATGTGCATCCTTCTTACACATAGCCGGCCAGTGCTGCGCCTCATGCCGTCATGAGTAGGCACCCCGCACACTTTCGACAATTCCAAGCTGAGCAGACTTTGTAGTAAAAAGTAGTCCACCTCCAAGAAACAGCCGATTGATTGTGTTGGATATGTGATGATGGATAAACCAAGGGTGTCTGTAGAGGCCACCAACGTACCGTACCTTAGTAATCATCCTTCCCGAATAGCTCCCAACACCACCAGCCGTTCCCGCTATGGCTTTAGCTAGTTGGAGCTAATTTAGAATGGAAGCTAGTTGGAGCGAGTACGGTTGACCCTGAAAGGGCGCATGCATGTCATCGAGCCACAGATTCACAGCCCAGCACCCGCACCCACACATCATCCATCCATCCATCATCCCTTCCAATGCCACAGACCGACGAAGCCGCCGCCTTTTTCCACGCCGTCTACTCGGCCATTTCCCAGATCCCCCGCGGCCACGTCACCACCTACGGCCACATTGCCCAGCTCATCGGCACCCGTAACCGCTCTCCCCCCCTCCCTTCCCGCACACCCACACCCCCCGACTCACACCAACATCACAGCACAGAGACCGCGTCAGGTCGGCGTCTGCCTCAAGCACCTCCCCGAGGACGCATCGGCGCGCTGGAACCACGCCAACGTCCCGTGGCAGCGCGTCGTCAACGCTCGGGGCGTCATCTCCCCGCGCGGCCGCCCGGCCGCCGTGCGCACCCAGGCACAGCTGCTCCAGGAAGAGGGTGTCGAGGTGGGAGGGGGAGGGGGACTGGGCGAGCTCCGTGTTGATTTGGCAGACTATGGCTGGTTTCCGTCGGTGCTGCCAGAGGAGGAGGAGGGGGTTGGTGTGCAGGGAGCGCAAGACACCCAGATAAAGGAAGAGGATAGCGATTAGTTGCCGCGTCAAATGCACCAGCTTTGATACAATTGATGTACAGTTAGAACCAAAAATGCATCACGGGAAAATCCGCTCACGAAATGGACCATCACAATGCGTAGAAAAACTGTATTCCAACGGCAAAAAGAGGTATGTATTGCTGAATATCAACTAATTCACATTAGACAATCCCACAATAAACAAGAAAAGAAAAGAAAAGACTAGAAACAAAAAAGACCAGTAAAAGAATAGAAGAGTGATAGAAAGATATTTTTTGTTCGTTCCAATGTTCACCGAGAAACTCCAAGCAATGAAGGTTGGTTGCTGAAGCGGTCGTAAAAGTTCAAGACCATAAAAAAAAAAGTTGAAATAAAAACCTCGGAAAGAGCCTCAGCACATCCTTGACCAAGAAAACGTAGCTCATACGCTGATACAATTTTGAACAAACAACACCCCGAAACCAAAGAGAGCTGCCAAAAAAAGAAGAATAGTATATGCAGCGCGGGTGATGCACTGGGCCGGACGCATACCATGTAACATACATATAAACAGAGCCCATTTCGTCGTTACTGCAACGCTAAAAATCAAAAACAGAGTCGTGCTGCTTCCAAAACAGAAAATAAGAAAACTGGCGCTGGGTACGGACGGGTATGGATAAGAGAAACCAGTCATGCGCTTTTCGTCTTCGAGGCGTCGGGCTTGTGTCGAGGGCCAACAGACTAGGACATGACCGTCTGCTCTTCCTCGGCCGGCGTGTCGGCCACCGTCTTGGGCGACGTGCCGGGCTCGCGCCGAAATACTCTAAACGCGTAGCTGAGCCCCCTCTAGAAGCAGTTCAAGCTTCCCTTCTTCTTCTTGCCCCTCTTAATGGCATTCATCCTCTCTTCGAGCTGCTTTCTAGCCAGCTCCGCCGCCTGTCGCTTTTTGCGCTCTTCTTCCACCACCTGCATGCTCCATCGGTTGTCCTGCGCCGGTTCTGTCGGCCGTTCTTTCAGGTCCTTGACCTCTAACTCAAGATCCGAAGCCCGCTTTCTCCACGCATCGCAGTCCGTCTTGACCTTCTTAGACTGTTTTTCAAGATCGCTGAGAGCCTCTTCCAGAGTCTGCGTAAGCTGGCGCTCCGCATACAGGTGCTTCTCGATGGTGCGGATGCGAGCTTCCTGGTCCTCGGTAATCTGCGAAATATTCATGTTGTCCTTGCTCAGAGGGCGGCTTGGCGGCGATGCAGGTGCACCGTTGACCGACGACGTTGCAGAGCCAGGCAGCGGTGGAAGCGGAATCGCAGGAGGCGGCGAAGGCAGGGAATTGTGAGAGGCAGCCTTGCGGATTGTGGAACCCGAGTTGGAGCGTCGCACTTCGCCGTTGGCATCGCCTTCGCCCAGCTTGGCCTGTAGCGAATTGTACTCGATTCGTAGCGTGTCCAGTTCCGTCTGGAGCTTGGTGCGGGCGGCATTGACCTCGTCCAGCTGCGCTGCGCGTTCCGTCTGCATAGAGCTGAGGCGCTTGTTCGTCATCTGCGCCTCATCAAAGTTATTTTGCAGCTGCTCCTCCAGCTCCTCGACCAAGCGGCTGTGTTTCTTGTTCTTCGACTCCAGATCATCCATCTTGCTCTTGACGGCAATAATCTGTTCCTTCACATCCTTCACAGATACGGGTTCCGCGGCGGCCTCGGTCTCCACAGCAGGTCCTGCCAGAAGCTCAGCAAGTTTGCCCTTGACTTCCTCCAAGTCACGCATGATGGTCTCATTAACAGTCGTGAGCTCTGCGATATGTTTCTGCATCTCGCCAGACTTGCTCTGCTCTGTTTCGAGCAGCTTCCGGTCATTCACCAGGCCATCGATGCGCTCAGTAAGCTTCTCGATACTGACCTCCAGCCCAAGAGCAGCGGCTACTTGCGTAGCGACCTTCATCAAGTCATCGCGAGCGTCGTTGACCTCGGCCTCGAGCTTACGGTTTGATTCGTGGTGCTCCGCCAGGAGGACCGCCATCTGCGCCTCATAGCCCTTTTGTTCCTGAGTCTTCACCTCGGTGAGCGCCTTGGCATGTGTCGCCGACAGCTCGTCGAGAGCCTCCTTGTGCGACTTCGAGGTGTCCTCAAAGCTGACAATTTGTGCTTGCAGCTGGGCTACTAGTTCCTCATGCTCCTTGACCTTGGACGCGTGCGATGTCGACATCTCTTCCAGCTGAGACGTGGTGGCAACATGTGCCCTTTCGAGCTCGGTAACCTTGGCAGAGTGAGCGTAAATGAGCTTCTTATACTCATCGATTTCACTGCGCAAAAAGTCGACGAGATCTTGGTGCTTGCGCTCGTTGCTAGCAATGGTGTCGAAATCGGCTGACGAGGCAGCCTTGACCTTTTGCAAGTTCGTGGTCGCGGTGGCAAGTTCGGTCTCGAGACCCCGGACGGTGTTGTGGAGATCCGTCTCAGCGGCTTGCATAGCAGCAAGAGCCGTGTTATGCTTGGTTTCCCAGGCAGAAAGCTCAGATTGCAGAGAGCTGATGTGCTTGTCCTTGTCCAAGGCAGAGGTATCAGCGCCGCCTCTGCTCTTTGCGTCGCTTTGCTGGTATTGGACGCGCAGCTGCTCCAACTCGGCAAGCAGAGACTGTTCGCGTTGCTTGTGCATTTCGCCCATCCCAGCCAGCTGCTTCTCGTTTTGCTCAAGCTTCTGTCGCAGAGCCGCAACCATGGACATGTCCATGGGGCTGGCCTTCAAACTAGTGCGCTCACGAGTCAGGCCAGAGATGATGGTCATCTTAGTCTCCATTTCCTTCTTTGTTGACGCGACGGAAGCCTCGAGCTCCTGGATGCGCTCGCTGCGGGTATGAAGTTCGTGCATGGCGGCGTTCAGGTTGAGCTCGAAATTCTGCATAACTTCTGGACGGGTCTCAAAGTTTTCGCTGGCGATATTACGCAGAGAGGCAAAGGAGCGATGAGCTCTGTCTATGATGAGGAGGTTCTGGCTGGATTTGCGACGGATGACTGGGCTCGAGGTACGTGGCGAGGTAGCCTCGACGGCGCGTGCCTTGAACAGATTGGTCTTGAGTTCCTCGACAGCGTCCAGAGTGTCACTGTGGGTAGACTGGAGCTGGGCATATTTGGAGGCGAGCTCCTTGGCAGCCTCTTCTCTATCGTCGGCAAGTTGCTTGAGACGTTCCAGCTCTTGGGTTAATTCAGCAGTCAGTTCACTGTGCGTCACGTCGTCGCTAGAAGCGTCAGGCTTAGTGGTAGAGGTGTCGTCATCCTCGACCATGTCTTCATGGGCCGAGGTATTCGCAGTGTCGGCAGACTCCATGGCAGAGGAAAGCTCGGACGACAGGGAGCGGGATGCGGAAGAGCGAGCTCCCTCCTTGACCAGCTGAGACTCAACAGAGGAGCGGAAGGAATCAGGTCGTTGACTAGACGAGACTTCTGAGATAATGGAGTCGCGGGCGGTGCTGTGAACGTGGCGGGATTCATCAACGACATCTTGAAGGGAAGCAATTTTATGCATTGCTGCTTCGTACTTGGCTTGAAGGGCGTCGTAGTCATTGACAGTAGTTTCGTGCTCAACACGGAGGCCCACCAGCTCCTGTGTGACATCCTCTAGTTTATCTGACACGTACTTGGTTTGCGCCGGGCTTTGGGTGACCTTGACAAGAGCATCGCCGTCAGAAGCTTTGGTTGTCTTGAATGCGCGGCTTACGTGGTCAAGGGAGTCCTCGTCAATGTCTTCTCTAACGGTACTGGCGTGAGAATTAGCAGTGTCGGCATCGGAATCCTCGTCGTCCTCGTGAATTGTCTCGTTAATCTGACTCTGAGTGCGAATGTGGGAGAGTTTGCGAGAGTGATCAGCAGACCCGCGACGTGCATGCTCGTGGGTACCGTTTTCGGGCTGCTTCATCTCTTCGACATGATCGAGCTCATAGAGTAGAGAATCAAGCTTGCCCAGACTGCGCTGGCGCTCGATGATTTGTTCAAGGCGATCAATCTCGCGTTGCATAAGCTCGCCGTCCTGGTCAGCCTCGGCAAGGCGCTCCTCCAGAGTGGAAATGTAGTCTTCGCACGATGCCTCGTTCTCGCGGGCACGGGAGATTTCCTTGCGCAGGTCAATTATGACGGAAGCATTTCTTTCGTCGCCTGTGCTGTGGCCGTCGAGTTTAGATTCCAGATCGTGAAGATAAGACTCCGTGTTGGCTTCACGATCCATGAGTTTTTGGACCCGGGACTGAAGCTGTGTGTTGATGGTATCGATGTAAGCCAGCTTTGTCTCTCTCTCGAGCAGGGACGTTTCGGTTGCGGAAAGGGTGCTTCGAGTACTGGAGAGTGACTGCTCGAGCGACTCAATCGTCTTCTCGTACTCGAGAACGACCTGCTCGACAGCCTGGGCAAAAGTATTGGAGCGATTCAGTCTGTCGGTCGCGCTGTTAACTTGTGACGAGTCTGAGGCATCTCTGAGCGCAGACTCCTTATCGCCGGCTCGGGCCATCTCAGCAATGAGGCGAGCATGGCGTTGGCCGAGAGCGTTATAGTTTTCCTGCATGTCAAGAATCTGATTCTGCATTTCAGCTTCGCGCTCCTTGTCGCGCTCCGAGCGCTCGGTGAGGCCAGCGCCTGAGCTCTTGGAACCCGAGTCGCCATTTTGAGAGTTGCGAATCTGTTCGCGAAGGAAAGTGACTTCGGCCTTGAGGCGATCGATGACGGCTTGCCTGTCACCCTCTTCGACTTGCTGAATGCGAGGCTTGGACTGAATAGCGCGGGCGCGCTGGGCGTACTGAACGGTATTGAGGGTTTCACTCAAATGGAATTCAGCTGGGGTGACACAAGCAATCATGTACGTGATGGCATTGCCACCAAGCGAGTCTTGAAGCAGACGCGTGAGCTTGGAATCGCGATATGACACGTGTGAGCCGCTTTGACGGGATGACAGCTGGCTGATCACTTTTCCCAGTGAGGCTAGACCGGCGTTGATGGATATTCCTTCCTTGGCTCTGTCACCCTGCGCACCAGTGTTTTTCAATCTTTCGCTGCCGGCAAGATCGACAAAGTGCAGTTTGCTGTCTGTGGTGATGGAAACTTCCTGTCCCGTCATGGCCTCGATGGGGACGGAGAAGCGCTTCTCGGCGGCGCTGGTCTGGGTCTTGCTGCGTCTCTGGACGAGATTGAGTGAGAAGACGGCATGGGAGCGAGAGGATTTGGCATTGATAGCGGTGGCGTCAGTTTGGCGAATGGTCGAGCCCAAGGCAAGGGCGTTCATGAGGTCTTCGGCGGACTCAATCTGGACCTGGTGGAGACCGGTGACTAGGATGTTGCCCTTTGTGTCTTCGCGGATAGCGACATTGGTGCGTTCGCCGAGAGGAGTTGTGTCGGGAGTGAGGAGATCTCGAAGTTGTTCGTTGTAAATTTCTACGTAGGTGGCTTTGAGGGACCAGTGACGGTCGCCGAGGGGATTTTGCTGGGCATAATCACGGGGGTTCTTGATCTGGGTGAGGAATTGGCTCCCACGGATGGAGCCTATTGAGGCGTCATTTTTGCCGTATAACGAATCTAGCTTTGCGAAGAGGGCAGTTGCGGCGCGAGGAATGACGCCTGAGGTGGGATGTTAGCTAGTAGAAATGGCGGCGAGGGGCGCATTCGCGCGGCCAAGAGGGCGGCGACTTGCAAGGCGGACTCACCCATCATCTTGTCGTCTTGCTGATCTAGCGGGCCAGATGTACCCATTGTGTATGATTTGCCGGCGCCCGACTGACCATAGGCCAAGAGCGACACATTGTAGCCCTGGGCAAAGGAGTTGACCGAGTCGGCGAGATAGTCCCAGATACCTTGCTGCTCGACGTCGGGCGCAAAGACACGGTCAAAGACGAAGAGCTTGCGCCCTTGGGGTGATTCTATGGAGAGATTTGTATCTGAAGAGGTCTGGACCATGGAGCGCTGGAAGCGTTGGGGTATCAAGTCGTAGCCAGGATCTGAGGGCTGCAGAGGCGGTCGGATGCGGACAGCTAGGTAGGCGCGGGATGAGTATTGGGCGCGCGCAGTGAATCAAACGAGAGGCTAAGGAAAGAAGAGGGAAAAAAACGTACCGACGCGGACAGCAGTGCGTGCGTCCTCATCCGAGGCGCGGCTGCCAAAACCCGTCTTGCTGCTCATGCTCAGTCTGCTGCTGCTCCTCGAAGGCTTGAAGATGGTGGACGAGGGCCGCTGATGGATAGGCGAAGCTGGCGGCGTGCTCGCCATTTTGGGCGGGAATGGCTTTCGCGGGGACACGGATGGTCCCGGCGGCGCTTGGGTGAGTAATGGTCTTTCGACTTGAGAGAGAAAGTATGCTTGCTAGTAGGGGTAAGGGTTTGATTGTTGGTTTTTGGCGTTGGTGTTATTTTGGGGGTGAGATGACGGATAAGAAGGGAATTGAAATTGGGAAAAAGGTGCAGCAGGCAGTTCAGGCCGGTGCGGTTTCGTTTGCGCGGCGCGAACTGGTCGGTTGATGGCGGCCAGCTGCCAGTTGCCAGTTGCCAGCCAGTTGACAGCTTATAATTTTAGCAGGGGGCCGGTCGACGCTCAGGGATCTTTCTTTTTTTTTTTTCGGTGGGCAAGCAAGCCTGGTGGGTTGGAGTTGGTCACTGGTGGCCAATGTTAGCAGGACCAAACGGAGGAGGAATAGTAGGCCAAGGCATGTAGGTACCTACCTAGGCACCTGTTCACCACCTGTTCCAGTCGCGATGCCCAACAATGCGACTTTCCCAGACAAGACCAAAATAAAGACACGAGAGTCTGTTCCTTGTCAGAGTCGCAGACTTGATGGCGGTGGTGGCCGGCACTGGTGGTTGTGTGTGGTGTGGTGTGGTGTGCTGTGTGGTGTGCTGTGTGGTGTGTGGTGTGGTTGGTGTGTGGTGGTTCGCCCCGCGACGGATTGGGCCAACTTTCAGGCAAGCATGCAATGCAACAGCTCAAGGATGGTAGGAAAAATGGCCAGTTCCGCTGTGGATATACCCAAATGCTGAGATACTGATAAGCAAGGGCGCCAGTCAATCGAACCGGATTTTCTTCTTCGTTTCGACGATTATCAATGTCTCTCCGTCCGTCGTTCGTCGGCGCCGTGGGAGGAGGGGGGGCCTGTGGGAGAGCACAGCAGCAGGCGACTACTAAGCATACACCGGTGACAGCAGCCAAAGGGCTGGGGTTTTATTAGGTACCTGTTAATTAAACTGGAGGCCGGGGTGCACAGTGGCGACGCGGGCGGGCACACCGTTGCCGTTGGACGGCGCGAGAGACGGATGATGAAGTGGGCTGGTGGTTTTGGTCGTGGTAAAGTGGTGATGCGGCCGCCAGGAACACTCAAGTTGAATGCAGCCAAGAGGGGGAGAAAAAATTACCGCGAAAAACTGGCGGGCTGGCAATTGGATTCAGAGACTTGGGAATAATTCTCACCATTTAGTTTGTGCGCATCTGGCAAAAGGAGGCGGAAAAAGCAACACACATGGCACAAGCGGCGCAACAGCAACGCCGAATAGGGGGCGGGAGCTAGCCCGAGCCACTGGTACACGCGGTACACCAAGATGCTGTGCTCAAGTATCCGGACATACAAGCACCACAGCACCACCAAGCAAGTACAATATTCAATACCAAGCCCGTCGATACCTTCCCACTAATTAGTAATTAGTACGAGCACCCGGCAGCCGTTGCTCACTATTCCAGGCGCTCCCCCGTACAGATTCCAGCATCGATCGACGCACTGAGCTCTCGCACAGGCACTGCATCGACCTGTAACTAGCAGTATGTACCACAACCAGACAGCCAGACGAGGGGCTCCCAGCATCCTTGTTCCCAGCCATGCGCATGGCCTCTCTCTTCCCTCTCTGTATGACGCGATTGGTTCTGTCAACAGCCGAAATGAAATCGAGTCCCTTCCAAGAACCAGTCACCGCCATCGAAGCATCAATGCAGCCCAGTGGCTTGATTCCCCCTCTCACTGATCAAGTACCGACGCCTGCCTGCCTGTCCGTGTCTACGAGGGGTATCCGTACCTGCGCCAAAAAAGAATACAGGGGCAGGGGGGGTCACACCACGCCCCAAGGATATGTATCCCCCCCCCTTTGGCAGTCTTTTTTATCTTTTTTATCAGCAGTTTAATTCCGGGCTATTATTAAAACGTGCATCTAGTTATTTATTTGCTTGATTACCACCTATTTAATGGGGAATAGTAGGGCCAGTCTTTGCCAACGTCGCACTGCTCCCGGCCGGGCACCAGGCGACATCCGGTTCGAATTTGGAGAGTGGACTGGCCGCTTCCATGCGACCCGAATGCCGGCTTCTCTTCATCACTGCTCCATCGGCCATGGGCTTGGACCTCTCATCACAAAAGGTGGCTTGTCTTTGCTGGGGCTCCCTCCGTAACCAGCACTGGTAACTACGAATTCCTGCGCAATGCAGATACAAAATACCTCTCCCCTGACTCCCTCTCCAGCCACCGCTCCGTCGCCGCCTCCCCACGCTACCATTGGTCCATTGCCCAACCATTCTGGTACCGGCCAACCGGCTTCCCGGCTTATGGGCCTCGGAGCCAAACACGGCCATGACTTACTTTTTCCTGACTCTCACCAAAATCCTTGCAACAAAGAGCCAAGAGCCGATCTGCTCCTCTTTCTCCTCGGCGCTTTGCCTGCCATCCTGGCATGCCTGATTCATGCCCCAATGCCGATGCGCGTCGCCAATAAGCAAACCAAAACCAACCTCCAGTGCGGAATTTCTGCTATGCCCAGGGATTCTCTTAAGCGAACGAGATTATAAATGACTGCTTGTGAATATAACCATGAGCCAAAAACAAAACAAGCTCCGTTGGGCGCATCTTCAGCCACTCATTTCTCACCAAGAGCTGAATCCCGTCCGGAATGGGCAGCGACCGACTTATTGGATGGACATATTGGCCATTGTCCGCATCGTCCGTGTCACACATTTAGTTTTAAACTTGCAGGCTACGTACCTCGCAGCCTAGACGACCACATGTGTGACGCGCATGAGGAAATGCACATGGCCTTTTCCGCGTCACAATAGAAGTAGGCTACACCGTGGGGGGGCAGTCGGGTCGCCGGGTCGCCGTCTATGCAACTCGCCGCGGCAGAATAATAAAAAAAACTTCAAATAATACCACCCGCCGTAACTAATAATAACGTGTAAGTCGTCTCATACCCTTGCTTATCACATCTGTCGTCTTTTCCATCACATTCTGCAATGCGCAGATCTGCCGAGCCACCACCACCACCGCCGCGGTTTGATTACGGACATAGTCTCCCACCTTGTCATGACGCGCCGGGCCTCTTCCAATCGTCGCAAAAAAAAAACAATCGAACAAGATCGAACATCCCCCGTCATAGCACATGCGGTCAACCCCGTGGGCCTCGTGTTACTTCTCAGCCAGCCCTTTGTCTGATCCCGCCCCGCCAGGCGCCTGTGCGCCGGCCTATGCTCGCAGCTAACCCAACCTTGTGGCCTTCCATGAAGCTTCTTTTCTGCAAAACGTCCTTCTTCCGCAATCACCAGTTCCAAACATGAGTTTGTTTCTCCTTAGACCGGCTCTAAGCCAAACTTGGTTGCTCTTTAAACAACTTTAAATTGTCTCACCGTCAAAACGCTGTAATTGAGCCCGACTGTCTCTGGGTACTGTCTAACACTCTCGTCCACAATGAGACACCTCACGGCGTGCCCGGCTGGGTTTACACGCTGATCCTGCCCGTCATCAATGATCCGCGGGCTCCCGTGCTCGGCTTTCAGCTGTCAGCCGCCGACGCGGCCTGCCTTGTGCGGCTGTCCCTTCACGGCTACATGGAAACTTTATATCTCCTGACCCCTTTATTCACCAGCCATCCGTCGTTGTCTGTGCTTCACAGCGGAGGGGCTCGCGAGGCGATCTCTCAGTTGTCTGATAGGTTTCTTGCAGTCAGGTTAGTCATGTCGAAACTGACTATTACATACTTGCATGTCGTTCCCCGTCTTGCCCGCATATAGCCAGCAGTATGCATGCGCAATGCGAAGAAGGACTCTGCATATCCGCATAACGGTTTTGTACGATGCAGCTTCGCTGCAGATCTTTTCTCCGCGGTCCCACCTGGCTTGGCTGCCGATTCTGCCATGAGATTTGACGACGACAGTTTTTAGTTATTTTCATAGCTCGCGTTTGATGGGCCGTCAAGCACCAACTGCTGCCCAAATTCCAACCATTCGGGAATGCTCGACTCGAACAATTTAATTGTGTAGATGCATTGTTATACTGCAATCCCCTGTCCTTCAGCGAATGGGCTACGATCGGAATGGTCGTCGCTAACGAAGAGACCAATCGCTGCATCTTCGCTCATGCCGCCCTATCGACACATCATCAGCCACTGAAGAAAGTTCAGCCCATGCACAGCTGCCTCGTTTTTCTTTTGCTGCAACTTCAGTCGCTGGCTAGCGCTGCCTAGTTTCCTTCCTCTTTCCTTTTTACACTGGCCTTAGTTGACCCAAATGGGTGGCATTTTTGCCAAGCCAGCCAATTCTATGCCAGAAAAAGAAAGGGCTAAAAGCACAGCGACGAGTTGGCTCGTCAGCTCTATTATTAGCCTGCATCAACAGGGCTTATTAACCAGCCACTTGAGTTCGTCAGTTTGCGTGGCTTGGAAAAGAAGCTGTCCAAAATTGAAAGGGCTGAAAAAAAAAGGAATTGCAGGTTGCGAGAATGTCAGCTCCGAGAGAGGTACACATGTCAACTGACTCGGCCGAAGGGCGACTGTCCCCAGCCTTCAGGCAAGTGGCGCCGCCAGCCTTGGGCCAAAAGGCACGTGATTTCGCGTCGAAGATCGCAACCGCTTCGCCTGATCCTTCGCGTCGCCATGTCAAGCGACGGCCGAAGATACTGACGATTTTCCGACCCCACAATGGCCATTGGCGAGCTGGTCTCCAGCCATGGCTTCCAACATCATCGACCTCATCTCCTCCAGTCCGCCTAGAGATGTTGTTCCTCCCAGGCCGACCGCCGCCAAACCAGACACCGCCGCCTCCAACCTCGCACAGGTCGAGATCCACTCGGACGATTTCTGTAGCAGCGGTGACGATGTGTTCGAAAGCGGCAGACTCGTAAACGAGCCGATTGCAAAACGGCCGCGGCTGTCAGCTGAGGGTGACGCTGGTCAGAGAGAACGGCCGTCTGCCTTCTCCTTGACACAACCGTTCCAAGCGACCGGTCAGAAATCAAAGACTCTGCTAGACGATATCGAATTTATTAGCTCCATCGACTCGGATCCCTTTTCTTCTCCCAAACCCCGAACAAATAGCCTAAAAAGGAGCAGGACAGAGTCGGCGCTGCCCAGTAGCAGGCTTGTGCCCTCCTCTGATCCATTTGCTAGCTCACCGCCACCAAAACTGACTGCCAGATCGGCAAATACTCGAATCGCTCAGGATCTCTCGTCAGATCCATTTGCTAGCTCACCCGTGAAAATCCTCGCTTCCACTTGCACCTCCAATACAACACTTGCTCGAGAACCAGCACGACCCAAACGCACTGCGGCTGCGTGGGATCCTATCTCTAGCTCAGCTCCGTGCTCTTCCGCACCCCCCAAGACTGCAGCTGCGCCATCAAATCACACATCACGAAGTCCATCTGTCATTAGCATCGGAGACACGTCTGCTTCCAGCGATGACGATCTGCCAGCCCTTGGCAACTTTGACCTGTCGCAAGGCCGGTCTTCATACCACAATCGTTCAACAAGCTCGGTTCCAAAAGCCAAGTCAGCAAACAAGTCTAAGCGCAAGGTTTCCGATCCAACGCAGAGAAAATCCCGACAGACCATTGACCCAAGTCAACGCGCCGCAGCCAAGGCTGCTGAGAAGGAGCACAAACGCCGCGAGCGAGAACGAGAAAAGGAAGAGCGGCAGCGGCAAAGAGACGTTGCCGCTGCCATTGTGGAGGTAAACAAGGCCAAGGGAAACAGAAAGGTCTCTACAAAAGAAATGATTGTGGACATTCCGTTGTCTCTCCCACCAACTATCAAAGTGCAACTGGAAACGTTGCTCGATGGGCTGGAGGTGCAGCATGGAGACTATGACAGTGCAGTACACAATGTCGTCAAGTGGCGCCGCAGAATCAACAGCAGGTTCGACGACGAATCGGGACAATGGGTCCCAATGCCACTGCGCATCGACAAGGAAGAACACGCCCTATTGTTCATGACTGCAGAGGACATAGTGCAGCTTGCCCTCGATGATGGCCTGGACAAGCATATGACCTCAGTTCGAAGCCAATATCCAACCGAGAAATTAGTATACATCTTACAGGGCGTCACTACCTGGATGAGGAAGAATCGCAATACGCGCAATCGGCAGTTTGCCGCTGGTGTTCGATCACAGGGCGAAAGTCAGGCTGCAACCGGACGCCGACAGGCTGAGCAAGCCGAGTACGTCGACGAGGACGCGATAGAAGATGCCATTCTCCGGTTGCAAGTCGAGCACGACGTTCTCATTCACCACACTGCTATACCACTCGAAACGGCGCAGTGGATTTCCATCTTTACGCAAAACATTTCCACCATTCCCTACAAGAAGCAAAAAGACGAGGACACGGCCGGCGCTCGCTTCTGCATGGAGAGCGGCCAAGTCAAGACGGGCGACAGCACGCAAGACACCTACGTGCGCATGCTCCAGGAGATTTTCCGCGTCACGGCCCCCATTGCCTACGGAGTGGCATCGGAGTTTGGCACGGTTACGAAGCTGGTTGAGGGATTGGCAGCGCGGGGGCCAACCGCGCTGGAGCAGGTCCGCAAGAGCGCCAACAAGGACGGCGCGTTCTCGGACCGGGCGATTGGGCCGGCCGTCAGCAAGCGTCTCTACAAGATTTTTACAGGCACAGACGAGACTAGCACGGACGTATAATGCAGTAAAAGCACACGGTGGCTTAAGTAGCAGTAATATCCCCTAAGTTGACAGAGTCAGCAAATGTTCATATAATAACGAATCAAATAAAACAGTGAAGATTTATGTCAAGTGTCAGACAGCAGTTGGTTAAATTCGTGTCCACATAGTGTGTTCGGTACAGGTCTGTGAATATTTGTTCCTCATCATATACTTGTGCAGCAAAAAGGCATGCAAAAAGGAAAAAAAAGGCAAGGAGGGAAAAAAGGAAGGAAGTTGCTCACCATTTTGTCAAAGCGCTGTAGTCAGAAAAAAAAGCCAGTCATCAATCATCATCATCATCGTTGTCGGTTCACATCTTCCTCCCACCAAAGTAGGACTCGATGCTCCGCTGCTTCTCATCATGCGCCGCGCTGCCAATGCCGCCGCGTGTCCGCTTCAGATCCCGCAGATGGGCCGTGCAATTCACGGCGAGCACGTGCATGCGCAGCCCGCGCCCGCCCGTCGCGAGGTCCGGCACGAGCAGGCACTCGAGGTACGCCGTGTTGGACCACCACGGCT